AATCTTTTTTCCTCAAAGTGGGAAAATATGACTGAGGCAACTTCTTGAAATTATCTTCGATAGCAAATTTTTTCCAAATTTACATTTGGGGAATCCAAATGTAAATTTGATTTCAGGGGAGTAAAGCTGGAATGGTTCTGATAAGCTTTATATTTTTATAACGGCATGGAACCTTGACATGTCAATGTATGCAAAGTGCTAACAATTGTGGTTTAAAGTGCATGGTTGTAGTACGTCTAAAATCAATTATCTTGCTGAGAAATGACTTAAAAAATCTTAAACGACTGTACAGACCAGTTTTTGGAATGTGGGTGGCAACTACTGTGTTTTTAAATGTGGAGGAAGATAGGGAAAAAAATGCACTTTGCTAGTCACACAGCAGCTGTTCTTTTTGGAGAGTTACAGGGCTTGAATTTGAATAGACTTGCTGGTGTTTTTGAGACGTGGTTGTTATCTTAAAGATAGTCTTCTTAAAGATTTACTTTAAGCAAAAGGTGAATACAAAACTCAGTCCTACCAAGTGTTGAGGCTGTTGAGTATTGACCAATGCATATTTAAAATAATCAAAGCCCAATACAATGACTTCTTTTCATACGTTATTTTCTCCACCCTCAACTTTGGCTTGGACAGCAATACTTACTGCTCTAGACTGTGAGTTCATTAGGACAGGAGCTGTTTTAAGTACTTGTACAGATGTGGTACCATTGAAACTGAAGAATATGCAGAATATTGTCATTTTATACAAGTAATGTAGATTTAATGACTTTTGGGCAGGATATAATCCTGTAGCTCCACGTAGGAATCCTTATGTACTAGTAATTGATGTATAAACATCAATTTAACATACGCTCATCATAATAAATATGAGTTACTTGTAACCTGTAGGTGCCCTGCCTATATTTGGAGTTAGTTTTATAACATCATAGTAAGAGGTTGTCTCTGCCTTAAATATTTTGCATTCTAAATTGGATAGGAACCAGGGAGTTATGCTCTATGCTGTTGAGGAACTCAACAGTTCAGAAATAATAAATGAAGATGAATAAAATACGTTGTTCTGAAGGCTATCTGAGGATCTGTCCCATGCTGCTTGTTGCCGTTGTCCCTTTCTGCAATAGACTGCTCCCTTTTTGGGTTGGCTGGACCTGAACCTTTTAAAATTACCTGAATTTAAACAAATGTTTAGAACAGCTTAGATGATTTTGGTAGAGCTTGGTTAGGGAACAACCACAGATGTTGCTCAGTAATTGAGCCTATTGAGAAAGGGTGAGAGGCAGAGGAAGGACAAACAGTTACAGGTGGGCTGCAGGCGTTTTATTTTTATTAACCTAATTGTGCTACTGCTAGAACAGTATATAAAATGAAAGCCAGATGTGCTTTAATGTCATCAAATAGTTCTTAAAGCCTGTAGGATTTGACAGTTGTTGTTTGTTGCTAGGGAAGTTTGGCCTTGTACACTGCCTGGCATAATAGGTCCCTGCTTCGTGTGTGATGTTTGCATCCAAAATAATTAAAAGCAATCTCCTGGTTATCATGCCTGTCTGTTCCATTAATCACGTGATTGGCTTTCTCTGTCACAACTAATTGGTTCCTGTTTTATGGTTCGTGAAGTCTGTGCCCCCATGAAAAGTTATCTCAACTGTTCACCTAGCAATTGCTATAAGAATGCAATTATTCTACAACTTTTATAAGTTAAAATCCTGAATTTTTCCCTTCCTCTCCCCCCCCCCCCCCCC